GTATCTGAGTGATGATCGCTCTGAATTTGAATGAAATACTGCTATGCTATTCACGAACACAGTGTTTCAATCTGTCAAAATTCCAGTAGTTCAGAACTTTTCTCTCGAAGTCTGAATTTCCGTGCTGATTGTTTTGAACGCGATAACGCGGCATCCGTATACTATAGACTACAATGCCATCATAACTTTTGCAAAAAAAAAACGTGGCGTCGCATCGTCATAACTTCTTCCAAAATAAATATTTTTTGAAAGGAAAAACAGTACACTCAGCTTGTCCTGACGAATATTGAGTTATGCCACCCCACAGTAACATCTCAGGTATACGCTAGATACAGCAGGAAATCAATTGCGAATCCGCCTGAAACTTTGTGTGTGGGGGTGTTATATAACTCCTTTACGTAAACCTTCAAACGGATTCGCGATGATCTTTTAACCATATCTATTACACCATGATTTAATTGTAGTGTGGCAAATCAATCGTCTGGACGAGCTGAGTACACCGCTTTTCTTCTTGAAAAACATCTATTTTGATGGAAGTTATGGCAAAACGCTTGCGACAGATTTTTATTTGGAATCACGTTTTTTTTTTGCAAAAATATGAGTGTAGTTGTAATTGGCCACGATCGCACAGTATGCTCCTCCGCTGTTGGTAGGCGTTCACAAGATGATTTTGCAGGTCTTGCTCCCAAAAATAGGCAAATCCATACTCTGGATTTTAAACCTCCGAATCTGATAAATTCTACTCCAACTTTAAAAAATTTATTGGTTTGCAGTAGCATTTACAGCTCAGCTAAAACACAAAATCAAACATGTAAATTTTTGAGCAACTATCCTACTGTTTGCCTCCGTTTTCCAGCAATTTTGTATAATCCAAAATGATACTCATGCAAAGCATATCTTCTATTCTACCAGATGTTAGAGACTGCATTATCAAGAAGTAGTAATGTCAAGATGTTTTTAAAAGATTTCCGCTGTGCTCAATTTCCGAAATTGGATTTAGTCTATCACACACCTAGAAGAAGATTTAGCAATTTCAAATTACCATATTTAACGTTCATACATCGCAGCCGCTTTTACCGCCAACATTTGTCGCTCGGTTCCACGATGAAGCTGCGGTACGGCGGATGCAG